GAGGCTCGCAGTGCCCAGTGCCCCAGAGACGAGCCAGTGCCCCCTGCACAGACAGCCCTTCATCATGTCGGCCTCAGGTCTGGGCTAGAAAAATAGGTCTTCCTGTTCCCATGTCATGGTTCTTTTTTTAAATATGTTTTTATTGATTTTTTTTTAGAGAGAGGAAGGGAGAGAGAAACATCGATGTGAGAGAGAAACATTGATCGGCTGCCTCCTGCATGCCCTCTACTGGGGATCGAGCTTGTAACCCGGGCATGTGCCCTGATTGGGAATGGAACCAGGACCTCTCAGTCCATGGGACGATGCTCAATCTACTGAGCCACACGGGCCGGGCCATGTAATGTTTTTTTAGTCGTCCGAGAGCCAAGGTGTGTCCCTCAAGTCTCTCTTCTGGTTAAACAGCCCCCTACTCCCTCATAGGACACTTCACCCAGACCCTTCCTATCCTTACGTTTCCTCTCTGGTCACTCTGTAGAGACCTCGGCAAAGTGCAGAACAGAGACCGGGATGCGGCCCTACCGAGCTGGGCAGGCCAGTGGGAACATCGAGAGGGCAGTGCGGACCTGCCACTTGAGATGGAAAGGAGGTTTGACATGGGGCCTCAGGGAGGTGGCCCCCCCTGGACGGCCGTGTCCATCATTATGTTGGCTGTAGTTGGTTGCGCCCTCTGGAGTGCTCCCCTAGGTAGGCACTGTCTGTTCACGGCTTGTCTGCTGCAGAGCAGGATCAGCACCTGCTGGTCTCCACGGGACTTAAAAAAGTAGAGAGAGGAATAAACGAAGGAAGGAATTGTGAGGACCGAGGGAGGCCATTGACTTGGACTGGAGCTGGGTTAAGTGGTGGTCTTCAGAGAAAGCTTGATGTTGGTAGGAAGGGCTGCTTTGGGGCCAGAGTGTTTGGGAGACCTGCGATTTCAGACCCCTGCTGGATGTGTTTGTTTGGGGGTCCAGGGCTGGGAGAAAGGAGGTACGGAGTGCTGTGGTCACTGTGGTCAGGGAAGGCATCCCGGGAAAGGTAGTCTAAGGGAACCCTCAGGGTGGGTGAGATCTGGCTGATGCAGAGAGACCCAAAGCACTGAGGGGTCTAAGAACCCGGGGTCGTGTTTGGGAGAACAGGGTGCGTGGGGTGGAGGGGACACTGGGAAGGGGTGTGTGATGAGAGACAGCTGGGAGGCTTGGATGCACCCCAGCCTCCCCTAGAGGGAGCGGGGATGGAGCCCAGGGTTAGTTAGGGCAGCTGCACCCCCGTCAGTTCTCCGAGTCGGAGGCTCGAGTCACCTCCGAGACCAGCTTGGCCAACTGTCCCATTCACGCAGTTGACCCAGTCCAGTGCCCCCACCTCTGTCTTTGCGTCAGCTGTCTCCGGTCCCGACGGACGGCTGCTTCGGGTCAGACCCGTCAGGTGTCCGCCTCTCGTTCCTGCCGGTGCGGGGCTGGGCTGAATTTTATACCTACATTCAGCTGTTTTTAAAACTTGTCCCTTGTTCAGATGGAGATGTGTTACGGGGTTAGTCTTTTTATTGCAAAAACGAGGGTTTTGCGTTGCCTTTTTACTCCCTCCATTCATGAGCAGCAGAAAGAATGTCGTTCACACAAGGGCGAGACGTAGAAATTCTAAATGTAGAGCTGCTGTGTTATATAGAATGTAATTAAGGAGATGACACTTCTCACCATCTCCACTTACGCTAAAAACGGATTGTAGCCCTGGCCGGTGTGGCTTCGTTGGTTGGAACATGGTCCCATACACCACGAGGTCGTAGGTTTGATTCCGCTCAGGGCACATTCGTACGTCTGGGGTTCCATCCCCGGTTGGGGTGCATGTGGGAGTTTCTCTCTCTCTCCTCCCTTCCTGTCTCCCTGAGATCAATAAAAACATGTCCTCGAGGGATGATTTATGAACACAAAACCCCCACTAATTTCTTGTTACACAGAAAGGTTTACAAACCTCTCCTTGTTAAACAAAGGAAGCTGCCGTCTTAGCCTCGCTGACTCATTGCAGTGAGCTTCCCACTCAAGGTAGAAGCTGCGTAGGAAGAGGTGTCTGACCTCTCAGAGGGGATTAGTTTCACACAGCCTTGTGCCCTTTGAGATTTTCAATTTTGTTTTTGCTTTTATTTCCTGGGGTTGGAGTATAGAACATGAGACGATAACAGTAACACTCAGTTAATGTTTATTGGGGGATCCCATGTGCCAGGCACTGTTCCAAGTGTCTTGTGTGTTTAACCTGACGTGATCATCACGGCCGTTCACGGGTAGATGCTGTTATGATCCTCACTCTGCAGATGGGGAACAGGGGTTAAATAACTGGCTGGGACACATCAGGGCCATGGTTCAGATCCAAGAATCTGGCCCCGAAACCCCTGCTCCTGACCACTCCGCCCTCCGGCTCGTGCTCTGTGCCAGGAGCAGGGAGGGGCGCAGGGGGTTCGCACAGGAGGAGGGAGCTCCTGCCCCGCTAGGTGGGGTGTGCACTATGGGCTGTTATTTCTTTCGCATTTGGGGTTGAAGCTGAGAATTGAATGTTCTTCGTTCACTTTTCTCTTTTATTACTGATTGCAACCTAAAATATGTCCGTTTGAATCCCAGCAATGTCTTTACTTACTCCTGGAGCGGATCTGCAGCCGGGGCCTCCTGGGCGCCCAGCTGTCACAGGCAGCGGGACACAGGCGTGAGCTCACGTTCTCATGGCAGAGGCAGAGCACACGTGTAGGCTGCTACGAGCAAATGCAGTGCAGTCTGAAGACATGCGCTTGTAGGAAGCCAACATGAGGGAGTGGGCTTGGGACGGTCTGAGGAGCGTGTTCCGAGCCGAGCGAACAGTTGGTGCAGATGCGGGAAGTGGGACAGATGGGGGGGGTGCGAGGGGCCATGTGGGAGCGAAGGAGGAAAGTCCCGCAGGGCTGTGGGCCACCGTGGAGGTGGGTGTACAGCGGGGGGCCAGCAGGGTCTTCAGGGTGCCTACTGTGCAGAATGACTTGTGGGATCATCTTGGAGAAAGTGGTGCCCTTATCATAACTTTCTTTTTTTAAATTTGTTTTTCTTTATTGATTTTAGAGAGAGAGGAAGGGAGAGGGAGAGATAGAGAGAAACATTGATAAGAGAGAACATCGACTGACCACCTCCTGCATGCCCCCCGCTGGGGATCAGGCCCACAACCTGGGCTGTGCCCTGACCAGGAATTGAACCAGCGACCTCTTGGTGCAGAGTCAATGCTCAACCACTGAGCCACACCAGCCGGGCCAAAGAGTGATTTTAATGAAGAGGAATGTTTAAACTATATATTTTATACCTGGTTTTTGGTATTTTTTTCTTCTAATTTAAGCATTTTCATATTATAGCACTACAGATGATAATCCATATGCTTTATATATGTAATATCTATTTTTGGTTCTATGAAATTCCAGAAATGATTCTTCTATTTATATCAGACCACCTAAAATTTTAAATCCAATCAGTATTCTTAAAACATATGGTGATAAGATTTTATCCAATGTAATGAAATGCACCCATCTCTTCAATGTATATGCTTAAAAGGGCACTGTTTTGGGGGTAAACCGCACATTTTTGAGTGTGTGAGTGTGCTTGGGGGGGGTTCTCGGCCCCTCACACCGGGTTCAGCCCCTGCTCACCCTCATCAGTCCTTCAGGGGAGCTTTGGTTGGGGAAGAAGGTGTCCAGTCACTGCCCGGCCTGTACAGACAACTGTCAAGAATATCCCGTTTTCTAGATTTATTCAGAAGGTACTTCCAAAATCACCTTTGAGAAAAATCGCCTTTTTTTTTGTTGTTGTTTGTTTGCTTTTTATCAGTTCACCGAATAAACCCTTATCTGGCCTGTGACTGAGCAGAGGGGGCAGCAGCCCTCCCGGCCGGGGCGTTCAGTCCAGCGTCCGTTCCCTGGGCCGTCCGTCCCCGCCAGCCCGCCGCTGGCCGCTCCTGAGACCTGCCCCAGGGGCGTCTGGGAGCAGTGCAGTGACCTCGAGTAACTGCGAGCTTTTATAGCGATGACTTCACTGGACTTGTCTAGACAGCAGTTACTCTCTGAAGTCCTAGCATGTTGGGGCTGGAGCAGATCTAACAAAGATGCCGTAACTCGGTCTAAACCTTCTCTTTGCCGTTGTACCGCGGTGTAGGGGTTGAGGGACAGTGACACCAGAGTCCTTAGCCTGGGAAGTGGGCAGCTGGTAGGCATAAATGTGGGACGGGCCTCGCTTTGGTCTGGGACGAAGTAGAAACACACCGAAGTATTCTTTCCCTCTCTGGACGCAGCAGCACATCGGAGAGAACTTTGGTGTCTGGTCATGTGTGTCAAAATGAGAGACTCCCCGGAGGTCACACCTGGAGAAGTGGGTTGACCCTCGGCAGCTCTGACCGGAGAAAAACGATGCTGACGCCCTGGTTCTGCGGGTGGCGTGCAGACGTGGGCCTCGGGCTGCGTCTGCCGGCGCCCTGACCTTCAGCCGTTTCAGTCGCCGACAAAGTAATCGTCACCTAGAGCTACTGATTGACAAGCTTTTTAACAGACCGTTGTGCTGCCCTGCTCTCGGTATGAAAGTGCAGCTGTGATTCATGTGGAGCCCGAGCCCTTAGCCCGCAGTGTCACCGGCTGGCAGCACGCACCGGCCGGGGCGGAGTCCCTCCGTGGCTCTGCACTTGGTCCGGGCACCGGGGGTGACAGTAGCCCTGTCTCTGAGAATGTGTCTCGAGGCCTTTATGAGATGTGGGTATGTAAACAATTGGAGGGCTGGGACATTGGCTGCGTGAGTGCCCTGAGGGCAAATGCGAGCTGAGTCCTCATCCCCGTTGTGACGAAGAAGCGAAGAAGCATCTCAGCCTGTGAGGTTTCCTTCCGAGAAAGAACACTGGCGGTTTCCTGATGATTTTGACTCATGGGGATAGATGCGAGGCGCTTTGTATTTGGGGACCCGTTTTCACACGAAGTGTACTCTGCTCCGTGTGACCGAGGGAATAGCTGTCGCCTCCCCCTCTGGTTGTTTCTGCAGGAAGCCGCGCTTTGCAGACAGCTCCCCATGGAAGCCGAGACTCTGGCCACGGTGCAGGCTGCTGTCAACCCCCCGGCCATGACCCAGGACATGAGGCCCATCACTAATAATAGCTCAGATCCTTTCCTCAATGGGTAAGTTCATATTTCGGGGCCACTTATTTTTGCTTTCCTTGCTTCGAGGTCAGGAGCACGGTGGGTGTTTGTGCTGGGAAAAGGTGGGGAGCTTGGAGGTCACAGTGAGGCAGAGGCAGCAGGTGAGGTGCCAGCCGGAAAAGTAAAAGCTGGGGAAGTGAACTACTTCTCTCTCTCTCTCTTTTTCTTTTCTTTATTGATTTTTAGACAGAGAAGAAAGGAGAGGGAGAGAGAGACAGAAACATTGATGAGAAAGAACATCGATTGGCTGCCTCCTGCATGCCCCCCACCACCTGGGCACGTGTCCTGACCAGGAATCGAACCGGCCACTGAGCCACACCGGCTGGGCACTACTTTTCTCTTTTGAATCTCGAAGTTAAAGATTGGTGATAGGACATGAACTGAGCCCCTAGTCCATAATTTTAAAATGGGGATGAACTTATACTTTCGATGGGATGGTGTTGCACAGTAATCATTTGGACGAATCCTGTGGTTTTATGCAGGCAGTGGGGGTGGGGGAGGGGAGCGTGCCATGTGACCTAACAGTGAAGAAACGGTGTTTATGGTGAAATGTGAGTAAGTCTATAGTTTAGTTAATAGTAGTATGTGATGTCAGTTTCCTGGTTTGGATCATTTCACGGTGCTTACGTAAGATGTCCTTGGGGACGGGTACACAGGACTCTGTATTCCTTTTTTGCATGTTCTGTGTGATTCTAAAATTATCTCACAATGAAATTCATTTTGAAAAAGAGATGTTTTAAAATAGAAAACATACGGGCAGATGGAAAATTTAATTTAGTCGGAAATAGCTCCATGAGCAGCAGTAGGCAACCTTAATTGTGTTCTCTTCAACCCAGATAAAGGGCAGAGTTCTGTTCCCTGGGCCCTTTCTGCCCTTGCCGAGGGTTCTGGCAGGCATACCAATCAGGAGAGCTCCTAAAAATAGACATGAAAACAAACGGTAGCTGAAATAATGAAGGCACGTGTTTAAACTGTGGATGTGAAAGTATTTCAAAGGTTCCGAAAAATATGAAAAATAATGAATGATTCCTGTGTCCCCCAAAAGGCAGATGTCCCATGTTTTTATCGATCTTATTTTCTTTGAAATAAATATCACAATTAATATGCAAACGTATCCCTACCACTACCGAAACGTTTCTTTTTTTCCTTCCCTCCCTGGTGGCCGCTCCGTTCCCAAGTTGCCTGTGCTCCCTGCACCCCTTTCTGTTCTTCTCGCCGCCTGATGATGTGCGCGCCCCTAAGCAGCTCGACATTTCTGCTTTTTTTTTTTTTATCCTCACCCGAGGATATTTTTCCATTTTTTGTACAGATAGAGTGGGAGGGAGAGAGACGAAGGGAGGGAGAGAGAGGAAGGGAGAGAGAGAGAGAAACATCGACGTGAAGGGACACATCGAGTGGCTGCCACCTGCACGACCAACCAGGGCCGGGGACAAACTGCAACCGAGGTACATGCCCTTAGCGGGAACGGAACCCGGGTCTCTCCGGACCGCAGGCCGACGCTCTAACCGCTGAGCCAAACTGGCCAGGGCTGCATTTTTTTTTTTTAACGTTTACCTAAATGGTGTCACACTCCGTAGGTAGAATAGTGTTCGAATTGTTACTTTGAGATGGAAGGGAAGTCCATGTCCATTTCCTACGAACAGCCGACTTCAGTTGCTTACAGTTGATTAATTTCATTGCCATTGGGAGGTCTGTTTCCAGAACATGAAAAGGAGGCACCACGCGTGCCTCGGTTCATTACCTGGGAAGGTGGGTGGGTGACTGGACCACGGTCTTTCAGAAGTGTCCGGGGGCTCACTCTGGCTCTCTCCACCTGTCGCCCCCCAGGGGACCGTATCACTCGCGGGAGCAGAGCACCGACAGCGGCCTGGGGCTCGGGTGCTACAGCGTCCCCACGACCCCGGAGGACTTCCTCAGCAACGTGGATGAGATGGACACAGGTAGGAGCAAAGCCTGCCGGTACTTGCGGTGCGTTTGCACTTGAAATCGTCTTCTCCGGCATCTCCCTTCTAGAATCCCACCAGAAACACTTAATCTCAATAACCACAACAAATGGCCACGAAAAGGCCGCCCAACTCTCAGGCATTATTAACAACCCCCAGCCACCCCGCGCCATCCTCTGGGCAAGCATAGTTTGAAATGTGGGCCTAAGATTTGAAATTCTGCTCTTTCTCTTCTTCTGCGTCTCCTCGCTTCACGGAGCCTTTGCCCGCCGTCACGTTGGCACACGGCCGCGCGCTGCCACCCTCCCACGGCGGAGCCCTGTGCTCGGGCCTGGGTGGTGGCGTGGGGCCTCTTCCCCTCGGAGAAGTGGCCCAGTTTATGTCCCGCACACACGCAGTGTCCCGTGCTCACTGCATTTGGGAGGCAGTTAGTGGGCTTTTGGCAAGTTAAGCAACACAGAGGATCCCACCTGTCAGCTCCGAGTCCCAGCAGGGCAACAGCGTCCTCCTCGGCCCGGGCGACTTCCCCCTGGTCCCCAGCCTGCCCCGCCTTCAGGCCAGGCCCCCGCTGGCTTCCGGGTCCCCTGCCCCCCCCAGAGGAGCGAGCCCTGCCACTGCAGACACCGAGTGGGGTCGGATCAGCCGAGTGTAGACGTAAGCATCAGAGTCCAACACGCCCAGAGGAGCGTCTGGACCCGAAGACGGAAGCGCTGGGGGTCCACTGTTTGGAGTTTCTGCTCGTTTCTCCTCGAGCCTCACTGATGACAGAAAATGGTTGCTTTGTGGGGCTGCTGTCCCGCAGGGCCCAGTGGGTCACTCTGCCTCTGGGTTGTCGGTCAGGCCAGAGACAGTCCCCTGCAGGCCGTCCCCTGGTCAGAGGACGGCACGGACTGTCTGGGGAGGAGTCACACAGGCATGGTGGGAGCTGTTTGTTTGGTTACACTTTATGACTTCGGTTTTCTCCCTCCCTCCCTGTCTTCATCTCTCTCTGTTTTTCGGTGGGAGATTTATGTTGCCCTCTTTGGAGCGGCTCCCTCCTGTGTTTAATCATTGTCTGCTTCATCTTTTAAACGCTGGGAGGCCAGTAAAGATGAAAGGCAACGTTAAATAGGAAAAGACTGAGGAGCCCTAAATCTAAGCTTGACGTTAAAAAAAAAAAGGATGAATCTATTCAATAGCTTTTTAAAAAATTTTTTTATTCCTTTTTTGATTTTAGAGACAGAGGAAGGGAGAGAGAGAGAAACATCGATGAGCAAGAACGTCGACTGGCCGCCTCCTCCACGCCCCCTACTGGGGATCGGCCCACAACCTGGGCACGTGCCATGACCGGGAATTGAACCGGTGACCTCTTGGTGCAGGGTCAGTGCTCAGCCACTGAGCCACACCAACCAGGCTATTCAATGGCTTTTAAAAATGACCTCGAGTGGGTAAACAGGACATGTGTTAAAGCTGAAATGTGGAACGAAGTGGTGTCCTGAAAGAGCATAGTCTTTGGAGACCGGCAGCCCACGTCGAAGTCTTGGTTCTCACTTACCGGCAGGGACTTGGGGTGAGTGCGATCATCTCCCGGGCCCCCGACTCCTCACCTGCAAAGTGGGGGTGCTCTGTGTACTTCTTCGAGTTGTGAGGGTCACGAAGTCACAGAGCCTGGCCTCTGGGAAGGCTGAGGCGAGGTACGGGAGGAACTTGATGACAGTTCGGTTCCCAGTTCACCTGGTTAAGTGAGTGTCGGCCCACTGAGTCTGGGCTGGCTTCTGGGAAGCCTTTATAGGAAGGGGAGAAATGTCACTAATTACACAGTAACCAGATGAGGGGAACGGCCGAGGGCGGGCGAGTGTAGCTGGACAGGTCATCAGGCCCACTGCCCACGTGCCGGGTGGGAGCGAGTCAGCAGAGCCGGCCCCTCGTGAAGCCCACGCAGAAGCATGTGGACTTGGCGTGGACGGAGTGCCGCAGAGAGCAAAGCCCGGGACTTACTCACCCTCCGGAGTAGCCTGAGATAGTCGCACCCTTTTAAGAACTGCCTGGTTTTTGTCTCTCCCACTTTTAAGTGGATAAAACTGCGAAGACCAAAAAGATTACAATGAGATTGCAGAGTGCTCCAAAGACAGATATTTTATTGTTTCCAATTTTTATTCATTTATTTTTGTTACAGATGTTTCTCCTTTCCCCCCCCAGACACCCTCCTCCCCACCCTGCCCCCCACCCCCTGGCACTGTTGTCTGCATCATTGGTTACGCGTACAAGCATATAAGTTCTTTGGTTCATCTCATCCATGCCCCCCCCGCCCCCCGTAGCCCTCCTCAGAAATCGGTCAGTCTGAACTGTACTCCTTTCTATGTCTCTGGGTCTGTTTCTTCATCAGCCCACCAAAGAGAGATATTTTAAAATTGTTAAACTCAACAAAGAACCTTAACTAGTCTCCTCACGCCTCCCATGTCCAAGGAGGAAGGATAAGACGGATTCTTTAAAATGGAGAGCTTTAGTTTGGCTAAAAAAGTGTGTTCTTGAGTTATTAGACATTTAAAAATGAGAAATCAATAGAGACAAATGATTCTAACTGGAGATGATGAGAAAAAGACCTCCAGCACCTTAGATCAGATCATTTTTCAAGGCAGAATTACATCTGTTATACCCTACAGGGTAGAAAAGGCTATTTTGGATTTTCTTTTCTATTTTGATGTTTTTCAATATGTGGTGGAACTTGATTTGATTTTTCATTGCCTTTTGCAATGAAAATCTTCTAAAATATTGCCGAGAAGCATTGATATTTCATGAATTACAGAAAAGTTGTTGCTGTCACCAAAATAAAGTTGGATTCTGTTTCCCTCGTCCCTAGGGAAGATGTAATTTTTCTCACCGGAAAAGATTGCATGCATGTGATTAAAATGAACTTTCTGTAGTTTGACTCAGAAGAGTGAAATTTCTATGCATGCTTTTCAGGAAGGCTACTGCACTTGTATGACCCAGGCGCTAATTCAATGAGTTTCTTCAAAACGATGCTGTGTGGAAGCTGGCTTGGTTATCAGTTCTCCCTCTCTGAGGCATATTGTGTTCCTGCAGAAAAGTGTTTGGGGCTGTTTGAATGAACGAGCTCTAAATCTATAAACATTTGTTGTATTTTGTATGTATCTGAGGTTGTGTGAGTGGGGCGGGTAGACGTCACATGGTGCTTTGCTCCAGTTTGTGAAGAAGGTGCTATAACCCCAATTTCATGTGGGTGAATTGAGGGTCACACAACTCATATACAGGTTACATGTGTCAAGGTCACACAGCGGAGAAGGTCGGTCTCCTGCACACTGGTCAGCACATTTTGTCCTGTGCTCACTCCAGAGGAACATGTATTCCTCATGTCACACCCCGGACACTTCCTTTTCCCCTAGACCTGCCTTTTCTCCACTGTGTTCTGTAGACTCTGGTTCCCTTAGGACATACATTCCGCCAAAATCAGATGAGGTGATTCAGTAGGTTTAGGAAATAGATTTCTGACCAAACAAGATAGAATGAAGAGGATTTCTTTACTGCGAGACGTCCCCGAAGCTCCGTGTGCTCCAGGCACTGTGACTGGTGCATTGTGAGACGGGCAGGTGGCTGGGGGCTGTGTGGAGGGAGGGGGTGATCTGCAGAACCACTTTATAAACTGCTTGGAAATGGATCCCTAGAGCCATCCATGAAGACAGCCTTCTAATAACACGGTTCAAAGAACGCCTCACTACAACCTCTGATCATAAAGAGGGAGGATATGGGTACATAGAAGCTCGCAGTTAAATCCTGAGGTTACAGCCCTGTGAGAAGGTGTTTAATGCTGGCAGGGCCTCTCTTCTCTCACAAACCAGCTCTTCGTGCCGCTGTCTCGGGAAGGCACAGATCGTAGGTCAGACCCACAGGGCCTTCACCTGCACCTGTCCTGTCTCCCGGGGCTTGTCCCTCCGCACGGTGTCTGCCCTGAGCTGTCCCAGGCCCCCGGCACCTCTGCATCTCCCGTGAGCCAGCATCACCAGCTCAGTGGTAGCTGAAGTTTTGCCCAGAAACGAAATATTTGAGACCTGCAGGCACAGAGCAAATGAAGGCGAGACTTGTGTTAACACTTGGATGGTCCCTCTTTCCAGGGCTGAAACAGGAGTCACAATGGTTTCCTTTCGTTGTGTTGCAGGAGAAAGCGCAGGGCAGACACCCATGAGCATCAATCCTCAGCAGACCCGTTTCCCTGACTTTCTGGACTGTCTTCCGGGCACCAACGTGGACCTCGGAACCCTGGAGTCTGAGGACCTGATCCCCCTCTTCAGTGACGTGGAGTCGGCTCTGAACAAGAGCGAGCCCTTCCTCACCTGGCTGTAGTCGCTGGCACCGTGCCGTGCGTGCAGCTGTGACCTGCCATTTCCCGGCCTCGGGAAGAGCCACGGAGCCGGGCAGGTCTGCGGGTGAACCGCTTTCCGCCTCCACGACTCTTGCTCCCTCCTTTCCACGTGGCCAGTGTAATCATTGCCTGGATTGGATTGACAGTAACTTAAGTTAGACGCAAATAAATATGCGATTTTCATTTTCTGCAGCCTGCATTCCTGTGGTGGGTTATGCAGAGTTGCTTCCCCGTCTTTTTCTCTGCGGCCCCGTGACTAAGCTTCATGGCTGTTAGTTGAAATTTATACAGCAATTGATTATAAACCATAAAGAGATGACCACAGGCCGCGACTTCTGACAGGTGGCTCGGTCCAGGAAATGTACACAAAATTAGACCTGATTTACAGTTTCGAAAACTGAATTGATGACAATAGTACCAAATGCTTTAAGTATGTAACCTGAGCTTTAAAGAAAAAATCATTGAATGGATAGTAAAATTCTGCTGTATGGGATACAACGTAGTGTTGACTCCATGCTGGTTCTGATGATTCTTGCTACTTTGTATTTACGAGGGCACACATGGTCCTCTTGTGGTGTACCCTCCATCACCTTACAACACCGCCTCCGGACAACCAGTCTTACCAGCGGGAGAGAGGACGCAGTGTTGGTCACCACCCCTGCACTGCAGACCTAATGACAGAGACCCGTTTGGTACTAATTATGAGCATTTATTAAACAAAACATTTTAAAATTGCAAGTTGGATGTTTTAAAAAATTACTGCCCAGAATTTGATGTTCATTTTATGAAGCACTCTGATTTTGTAGCTGATGACAAAGGGCAGCCAAATGTTTTTGATAGATCGGTGGTGACTGTGTTTTTGTCTTTTGAAACTGTTCCGAAATCATTAGGACACTCAGCTTGCAACCTGATGGCACACACAGCAAGCCGTTGCTTTTAAAATCCTGAAGCTTTGTCCGTTTTGCTTTTAAGATTTCAAGCGTTTAAACGAGTCTTATCTATGAAGCTGTTAAGGATGAAGCAGATCTCTGACTGACATTTTAGAAAATGCCCTCTTGAGGGTACATGGTGGAGACATGTTTCTGAATTCAGTAAAATTGATTCCTAAGTATCTTATCCTAACCCTGTTTGCTACAGTTGGTATAAAACGGCATGAAATATGTACTCAATACCTCTTATGTAACCAAAACATGTTGTTGTTTTTTTTTATTAGCTTTTAAGGACTGAGAGAGCACCAGGTTCGCCTGGCAAGCACTCTGTCTGCATTGCCAATGAAGTCCTCAACTGTTTAATGTTCTCGACTGACATTATTTATAATCTATGAATTTAATATCTTTTTAAAAAGACAATAATTCAGGTCTCTGGGAGGAACCTTTCAATCGCCAAGGGGGCTTTTGTTCGGGATCTCGCATAAGATCCTTTCGACCTGTCAGAACACAGACGGGCCAAATGCAGTTGATCTTGTTGGAAAGCGGGCACGTGAAAAGGGCAGAGATGAAGTAGGTTATGGAATATAGGGGCAAGGATGCCAGTTGTGGAGTGGAAATAGACAAGTTAGAGTAACCCACGCGTAAGACAAGCAGGAGGTGTGAGCAGTGCCCCCCAAAACCAAAATGACAATTTTCGACTGCAACCTTTATACCCAAAGACTGTTGTCAAAGAAAAGAAGGCTTCCGTGCACTTTATGTGGAGGGGGAGGGGCGGGGATGCTGGGGCACAGGCCGGCAGGGCGGAAGCCCATCACTTCCAACAGGATGAAGTGATTTCTTTTTCCTGAAGGACCCGGGGTTTATGTTCCTCTGACTTCTTTTCTCTCCAAGTGCTCTGAGGGAGATGGGGTGACGTTGATGTAGCTACTAAATTGAAGGGAGCACTACTTTTTCTCTTATGTTAGCAATAATTGCAAAAAAGAGTTGTACATTCTAAGAAATGAAACAGAACAAGGGACCTAACAAAACTGAGCAGTGTTACTGTATTTTTTAAAATATTTTTATAGCCTCATTTTCAGGTGATTAAGTGTAAAAGAAACAGATACCCCTCTTTTTTCTAAAGTAGTTAAAACATCGATGATTTGTATTATCAATTTCTAGAAGTAATTTCCTAGTAAGCTTGTGGCATTAGAAAACACTAGAAGTTTTTTTTTTTTTTAGTGAAATTAGTTGAAACATTTATTAATAAACATAACAAATATTTTTCCAGAATTAAATATGGACCCTGATTATGTGTTTACTAATAGATAAAGCCAGATATAATTTTTGTGTTTGTTTTTAAGGCCATAAAATATGGCTTTTGTTAAAGAACACTAAAGCTAGAAATGTTCGGAAGAACAGCTTTTCAAAGGCTATTTCCTATTATTGTGAGTGTTAAAACCCCTGCAGAATCATGATAAGGTGCTATTTATACTGTTTTTCTTACTAGAAAACAGCTGTCAGGATATCTAGTCTTTTAGTCCTTCATCGATCAATCAATTCCAGCATTTCATTCAATAGTTTTGCTATAGCAAAGGCATATTCTAATTGAAATGGAAAAGTAACTTCAGAGATCTTTCTACGTATATATTTTTCCTGATTAAACACATTTTTCTTGAAGTAAATACATTGTTAAAACCTATTTGCAACTGTAGTCAATCTAAGTAAGTCGTTGTTAGTGTTTGTTTAGGATGTGAAATGCCATCTCTTTCACTGACTGTACAAGATACGAGAAGCATGTAGAACAGGAAACAGGTCGGTGTGCTGGGGGGGTGTTCCCAGTGGGGCAGGAGAGCTCTGTGAGAGGTGATCCGAAGTGTTGCCAATTATGAATTGTGTTCTCACGACGTAATTCGGAAGTCACTTCTGAGAGTACAACTTCTATGGGGGGAAAAAGCTGTTTAAAAGAAATTGTAGATTAATTTAATTGGGAAAATGGATGGCCGACAGAGACCGTTTCCCTAACACACTACATCATGTATGTGCTAGTACTTTAACTTTTTAAAAAAATTTACTTCTACATTTTGTAATGTGACATATGGTGTTTATTTTTAATTCAGAATGCCCTGCGTGCGGAACGTATGCAGCCCAGTCAGATCAAACCGTTTTACCTGGATTTTGGTACTGTACTGGTTTTTACTTCTCTGATTCTGTATAAGAAAAATAAATGCAATTGAGTTCCACTTGGAGTCTCTGTCTGCTTATTACTCGTGTGTGTTCCTTTTACTGAGGGCTTTGGGAGGTACTGGACTGAAAAGAGACTTACGCAACTTTCCTGGCAGACAATAAAAGAAAGAACATTTCGTAGGCAAACATTTTTTGGATCAAATGTCTGTTCTTTAATATTCTAAATATCGTTTATTTGAAGTGGCCCACTGGGATTTTTAAAAATTTTTTTCTTTATTGATTTTAGAGAGAGAGGAAAGGAGAGTTAGAGAGAGAAACATCGATGAGAGAGAACATGGATTGGCCACCTCCTGCATGCCCCCACTGGGGATGGGCCCACAACCTGGGCATGTGCCCTGACTGGAAATTGAACTGACGACCTCTTGGTGCAGGGTCAACGCTCAACCACGGAGCCACACTGGCTGGGTCCCACTGGGATTTTTAAAGTTTGTATATATATATATGTGTGTGTGTATTTTTTTTTTTTAATCCTCACCTGAGGACATTTTTCCATTTTTTGTTCAGATAGAGTGGGAGGGAGAGAGAGAAACATCGACATGAAAGGGACACATTGAGTGGTTGCCACCTGCACGACCCAACCATGGCCGGGGACAAACTGCAACCAAGGTATGTGCCCTTAGCAGGAACCGAACCCAGGTCTCTCTGGACCGCAGGCCGATGCTCCAACTACTGAGCCTAACTGGCCAGGGCATGTGTGTTGTGTGTGTACTTTAAAATCATACTGTCGGCCCTGGCCGGTTTGGCTCAGCGGTTAGAGCGTTGGCCTGCGGTCCTGAGAGACCCGGGTTCGGTTCCCGCTAAGGGCGCGTACCTCGGTTGCAGTTTGTCCCCGGCCCTGGTCGGTCGTGCTGATGGCAGCCCCTCGATGTGTTCCTTTCACATCGATGTTTCTCTCTCTCTCTCTGTTCTTCTCTCTCCCTCCCACTCTACCTGAACAAAAGATGGAAAAATGTCCTCAGGTGAGGATAAAAAAATAAAATAAAATAAAATCATACTGTCGCCCTGGCCAGTTTGGCTCAGTAGCTAGAGCGTCGGCCTGTGGTCCGGAGAGTCCTGCATTCGGTTCCTGCTAAGGGCATGTACCTCACTTGCAGTTTGTCCTCGGCCCCGGTTGGGGTCGTGTGGGTGGCGACCAGTCAATGTGTCTCACATCGATGTTTCTCTCTCTCTTCCTCCCTCTTTCCCTCTTGCGCTATCTGAGGAAGGATGCAAAACTGTCCCTCGGGGGAGGGTAAAAAGTAAATAAATGAAATCATACTGTTCTTCCAACACCCTCACAGATTGACGGAGACATCAGCAGGGTAGGAATTCAGGTTTGCTTCTATTGTTAACAGTAGACCTCGTTGTCGGAGCTGAAACCGGCTCCTCATTCCATCCGTGTGTGCTGTGACAGCGCATTTTCTGTCTGTCGAGTCCCTTGATTCTCGCCGTTGTGATGCCTTTGGCACCGCACAGAACACCAGGGGATAGCGCTTGGCGGAAGAGGGTTGAAGCAGAAGCGTTCAGCGAAGCAACAGAGGAGAGATGCTGGTGGAAACAGTCCAAGGCTCACGCATCGTTTAAAAAAACCATATTTCATCATCACTAGTAAGGTAACATGCTCGTTGTTGAAAACCTTATACATGTTATAAATCGCAACGTAAAGTATAAACTAAGTTTTATATCCCCCAAATCTTACATAAAAAAAAAAAGTGTATGTTTTTCCGGTAAGTTGGATTTTTTAACAAATGGAAAGCAATTATACATGCTGTTTAGAAGCTTTTATTTATTTTCTCTTAACAATCAAAAATGATATTACTAATACTGATTGAGCATTTACTGTGCCAGACACTATGCAAAACAATTGCTACATATTATCTAATTTAATCTGCACAGCAACCTTACTTCTTGAAGGATATCCTCAATTTACAGATGAAGAAACTGAGGTTTGGAGTGATTATGTAACTTGCATAAGATCACACAGTCAGCAACAGATCTATCCAATACCTTCTGGTTATCTTTCCACACCAGTACCTATAGTTGTGTGCTTCATTATTTTTAACAACAAATGCTGTTCTTCTCTATGGATGTTCCTTATTGAGAGCCAGTTGGTAGCTACAAAGTGTACTGCGGGAAACAACTTCTTTTCTGTGAATATGGCTGAAGGATAGATTCCTAGGAAAGAAATTACTACATCAAAAAATGTGTGATTTTAGTCCGGCCGGTGAGGCTCAGTGGTTGAGCATCGACCCTGCACCAGGAGGTTGCTGGTTCGATTTCCAGTCAGGGCACATGCCCAGGTTGTGGGCCTGATCCCCAGTGGGGGGCATGCAGGAGGTGGCCAGTCATGTTCTCTCTCATCGATGTTTCTATCTCTGTCTAAAATCAACAAAGAAAAAATATTTATTTTAAAAAGAGACGTGATTTTAAATTTTGAAAATTCTGCCAAATATTTTGAAAGAAACGTATCAATTTCTACTTCCAACAACTATGTATGCCAAGGCCTGTTTCACCATTGCCAACCTAGAGTTGGATAATGCCTAATTTTGAAAAATCCTATTTTATAATTACAGTTGACATTCAACGTTATATTAGTTTTAGGTACAAGACTCAGTGATTAGACATTATATATACTAAGTAGTTATCCTGATAAATCTTGTACCCCTCTGACACCATACATAGTTATTAGAATATTAGTGACCATATTCCCTGCGCTGTACTTCACATCCCCATGACTATTCTGTAGCACAAATTTGTGCTTCTTAATCCCCTCACCTTTCCACTCATCCTCCCAACCCCTCCTATCTGATAACTGTCAAAACATTCTCTGCATCTATGAGTCTGTTTTTGTTCTCCTTGTTTATTTTGTTTTTTAGATTCAATTGTTGATACATATGTATTTTTTGACCTTTTATCATTCATATATTGATTTTTTTTTCTTACTTTTTTTCTCCTTTTTTTAATCTTCACCCAAGGATATCTTTTTCCATTCCTCTTCAGACAGAGTAGGAGGGAGGGAGGGAAGGAGAGAAACATTGGTTGGTTGCCTCTTACATGACCCCAACCAGGGCTGGGGACCAAACTGCAACTGTGGTACGTGCCCTTGACTGGAATCAAACCCACGACTCTGGTCTGCGGGCCAACGCTCTAACCATTGATCCAAACCAGCCAGGGCTTTTTCTTCTTCTTCTTCTTCTTCTTCTTCTTCTTCTTCTTCTTCTTCTTCTTATTTTTTATCCTCACCCGAGGACATTTTTCCATTTTTTGTACAGATAGAGTGGGAGGGAGAGAGAGGAAGAGACAGAGAGAGAGAAACATCGATGTGAAGGGACACATCGAGTGGCTGCCACCCGCACGACCAACCAGGGCTGGGGACAAACTGCAACCGAAGTACGTGCCCTTAGCGGGAACCGAACCTGGGTCTCTCCGGACCGCAGGCCGGCGCTCTAACCGCTGAGCCAAACTGGCCAGGGCAGGGCTTTTTCTTATTAAAGAAGACCCTTTAACATTTCATGTAATACTGGTTTGGTGGTGGTGAACTCCTCTAGCTTTTTCTTAACTAGGAAGATCTTTATCTGTCCTTCTATTCTAAATGACAGCTTTGCTGGCTAAAGTAATCTTGGTTGTAGGTCCTTGCTTTTCATCATTTTGAATATTTCTTGCCAGTCCCTTCTGGCCTGTTGAAAAATCAGCTGACAGTCTTATGGGAGCTCCCTTGTAAGTAACTAAACTGATTTTCTCTTGCTGCTTTTAAGATTCTCTCCTCGTCTTTAGCCTTTGGTATTTTAATTATGATGTGTCTTGGTGTGGGCCTCTGGGTTCCTCTTGTTTGGGACACTAATTCCTGGACGTGTGTGTTTATTTCTTTACCAGGTTAGGGAAGTTTTCCATCATTATCTTTTCACATAGGTTTTCAGTTTCTTGCTCTTTCTCTTCTCCTTCCAGCACCCCTATGATGCGACTGTTGGTATGTTTGAAGTTGTCCCAGAGGCTCCTTACATTGTCCTCATTATTTTGAATTCTTTTTTTCTGCTGTTCTGATTGGGTGTTTTTTTGCTTGCTTATATTCCAGATCACTGATTTGGTCCTTGGCTTCATCTGCTTTACTGTTGATTCCCTATAAGTTATTCTTCATTTCAGTTAGTGTACAGTAAAACCTCGATATAATAGACTAATTCAGGTGAGGAGGTGTCTGTTCAAGCCAAAAGCCTGTTACATAATAAAGTCGATTTTCCGAATGCCTATGTTAAAAAATTGACAAATTAGTTAGCTCACCTGTTTTTACTTATGTAGACATGCTTGTGTAACCAATTTGTATAAAAAGTTTAATTTCACAAAAAAGTCTTCTATACGTATTACTATAATTTGCAGTTTATACTGTATAGGTCTCATAAATGTATGCACTCACCAGTCACCAGGAGTAAACAAATGCACACGGCTGGGCGTGGCTTAACATACGTTGGAACATTGGCCAAAATGTGTTAAAACTGCTGCAGCAAGTCATGCCATGTGACAACAAAACCAATTGCCACATGAGATGCAGTGTGATCCTGTGCTAATCATTGACCAAACATTGTTTACAAGTTGTGACCCTCGGATTTAAATATGTAGGCTATAGTTGTAGATATGTAATATTTATGTCAGCAAAATTACTACAGTATTTTTTTTGCAACATGTGGCCTATTCGCTAAAATAACCAAAAAACCCCTGTTAATTTAATTGTAAACAAATCTTGAGGAAAAGCATTTAAAAATTAATGGTGTTAATTTCCACACATGACATACAAATCAGAAATTTTGTCTCTTAAATCAGAAGTCTATTAAATCAAGATCTGTGAAATCGAGGGTTTACTGTATTCTTCATTTCTGACTGGTTCTTTATGGTTTCCGTGTCCCTTCTTATGCTCTTGAAGTTCCCACTAACTACTCTTCCCCTAAGTTCCTTG